AAAATTATAGTAATATAAAAATAGAAGAACTAGACTAAAAGAATACTGCTGTACTGGGAAATCGATAAGTAAAATCAAATAATGGGATAGCTACATTTGATGATATCTCGTTTATCTCAAAGCCAGGTTCAAAAGATGTCTTATTCAAGATATCTTCTACGAATATAAATTCTAAGCAAATAAGGGAATTATATTCTGTTCCTGATGATATGCTAATTAATCAAGTAATTATATCACTAGATTTTGAAGATTGCCAAATTGGATATATTGAGAACAATCTTGTGTAAAATTTCAATAACCTTAAATTTATATGTATATAGATGTAGCTAATGCCAAATTGGAACTTATGCATTTTTCAATAACTAGCAACAATGCTTTGATTGTCCCAAAAATTCTGAATGTCTTGGAGGAAGTTAAATTGAATTACAATCAGGTTTTTGGAGATCATCAAACCTCAGTTCTCAAATTCATTAATGCATGAATACAGCTGCTTGTTTAGGCGGACTAATGATAGATAATAATCCAAATTAATAATGTTAACTAGGATATGGTGGTAATTTGTGCGATTAATGTGTCAAAGTAAATGGTATTTAATTCACAAGAAGTAACAAAAATGAATGCGAGATATGTCCTGAGTCAGGAATCAACATTATTTTTCTATAGGCTATAATCCTTATATTTATTTACTTGATTATTCTTGTAGTGATGAACATAAAAAGCAGAAAGACTAGTGAAATTTCAGTAATTATGAGAATTATGACTAACTTTCTTCAACTTTCATCAAGTACATATCTGCTCCAGTTAGAATGGCCTAAGCCACTTGAAAAATTTTTGGGAGCATTTAATTATGTCGGCCAATCAGTATATAACATTATCTACTTTGACTGTGTCCTAGATAACTCTATCATTGACAACGACTATAGTTATTGGCATTCTTCCAATAATTATCATGATGATCTTCTCTATAGGTTTTATCATTTTTATGATATTAAGAAAAATTTCACTAATAAAATTCAAAGATTGGTTTACAATTATGGCAATTATAGTTATTTATTTTACTCACCCAACAGTTACGAGAGCAGTAATAAACTTATACTATTGCATGGAAATCGACTAGGGTTAATTTTGGCTTGTTAGTGATCTTAATATAAAATGTTGGGCTGGAGATCATTTGAAGCTAAGTTTTTTAATTGGAATCACTATAGGAATATTCTGAATACTAATTATTCCAGTATTTGGATTTTGCTTACTACATAAAAAGAGGAAAATTCTCACTAGTATATACTTTAAGAATAGCTATAATATGCTATGTTCTGGGCTTAAAGATGAATACTACTTCTGGGAATTCATAAATATATTTAGGAAAATTTTTTTGGTAATGATCAACGTCTTTTTGCAGACACAGATATCAATTTTCAAATGTATGGTTCTCCTTTTAGTATTCTTAATCATCTATCGATTCTAAATCAGACTTTAACCATATCAAAATCCTTTGATAAATGAACTTGAAAAAAGAGAGATGATGTGCCTTTTTGTAACGATTTATGGCTCTCTATTTTTTTTAAATTCAGAATTTTAGAGTTGGACTCGATATATAACTTTTTCAATAATAGTAGCATTAAATACTCATTTCTTGATTCTTTGGCTTTATCTAGTTCTAATTCAATTTAAGTAAAAAGCCTCGTTATAGATTGCAAATAAATTAAGACATCTAACTTTTCTGTAAATTAAAGCCATTAACATTGATGAAAAACTGTCAAAAGACTCCTCAAAAATTTTAGATGAACTATTCACTCAAGAAATTTTGAAGGATAAAAACTGTGGGATACTAACTATTCTATCAACCAATAATTACAAAAATGAGTCCCATTAATCTCGAGGAAATAACTCTTAATATATAACAGTAAAATCAAAAAACAATTTGAAAAAGAGTAAGAGAAAATCTGAGAACCACAAAAATAACAATCTTGCATTTTAAACTTTGAATGATAGTAAAACTAATAATGCCAAAGGACTTAATGAAAAAGATTTAGAAGACATATTCTCTAAACCTAAAGAAAATTCAAATTTCAGTAAGTAAGTTTAATCATTTTACAGAAGGAAATTTCAGCAATAGAAATCACTCTGAAATGCCAAACAGATTTCAAATCATAACTTTCTAATTCAAGCAGATACTTCTGCAAATCATTAACTTTAAATGCATTTGGTTCTTTGACTAAGCAAAATCATTATCAGCAATAAATAATCTATGTCGAAGCTTATAAATAATTTCTTGAACCTTTTTGATTATCTTTTATTTGAAAATTATTTGGAAATTTTTAATCTAGAATTATTAATTCATAATCCTAAAAATAAACATTAGCATGGGGTTTTGGGGTTTTGGGG